CTTAGAGTCGTGTAATGTCGAAAGTACCTGCACGAATAGGATGTAACACGATTTTAGGACAGTATCATTGACGTGACTATCTAAGACTTGCATTTTAAACCTCTCTTATTGTTGAATTATAATATTTATATTGCTATAATATTGTTATGTTTATACAATTATAAAATTATGTTATTTATATTTATTAATTGATAATTTATCTATACACAAATCACCTATTTTTTTCATCAGATTCCCTTTTTCAAAATTCCTGAAACATAAAATTAACTCAAAAAATTTAGCAGATTGATAGCGAAAGAATTTGATCAAATAACGTAATTATTTACAACACAGCAAATTAAGTTTGAAAAAATGTCTAACCTTCGACGAGATTAAGGACTACAGATTTTGTAGAACAAAAAGATAGTGTAATTATCTTGATTCATGAGAACTTTTGTATTAAAATATCGTCTCGAGATATTACGAGAAAGACAAAGCTAATAAGCACAATTTGCAATCATTAAAGGGGCATAAGCGTCAATACGTAGAGGGTGGTCGAATTCTTTATTTTGGTGTCGGTACGAAAAGAATTAATTCATTATTTTCGCTTTTCTGCTTTTCTTTTTCTTTTCTATTTCTCCATTTGTTATCATATTTGAAAAGTGTTTATAAATTATTTAATTTATTAATAAATAAAAATAAATGTTGAATTAGTATGTAGTATTTGTGAATTTTACAACATATTGATAAAATTTATACGCACTAGTAAAACATAGGTTATTTTAAAGGGGAAAAAAGGTATTTTTCGCTCCCAACATTTGATAAATGTAACAAATTTACCATCAATCTTTTTTTACGTATAATTGTTCCTCAACCTTTCAATTATATTGCAAAATTCGTCAATTCTAATATTTTGATCATTAAAATGACAACTTTGTCCTCATCTTTAAAAAAATAAAAAATGAAAGAAATCAATAAAACAAAAAATAAGAAAAAAAAAATACGAAGGAAGTTCCATAACTATTCAGAAAGTATAAATAAATCCCACATAATATGACTGAATACTTATTAGCGCACCAATTTTTTTGTTTTCGAAAAAAGTAAACATTTCATATTCCCCCAATCAAGCTCACCCACTTCAAATTCACCTCTGATCAAACACTACTTTCACAAATGTAATCATGCAAGCAATGGCATCACTACCACCACAATGTTACAAAATTTAATTCAAAAAAAAATTAAGGTCTCATTTGGGAGCGATTTGAAAATTGATTTTTTGACCATTAGGAGAAAAATTAGGGTCACTTGTGAGAGAAGAAGTCAAACTTTACGGCTGAAATAATAAAATAACGATTAAAAACTCAATTTTTTGGGATGAAAAATCACTCCTAAACACCCTCTAAAATAAAATGTTTTTTTTTTCTCAAATCCACCATTACTGCCCATTGTAGCAAAACCTCCATCGACAATGGGCACCACACCAGCCCTCATCCTTTGCAAGAACCAAATCACAACCTAGACATAGAGATAAGGATTTGATAATCCTAAACCTTTTTTCTATAATTTCATTCTTGCAAACAGATGGTGGAAGATTGATGACGTGCCCACAATCCGTGGTGGTTCTGCTATGATGCGATGGTGACGTGAATTCGGGGAAAATATATTTTTTGATTTTTTTGAATTAATTTTCCTAACTTAATGATGGTGCTATTGCTACCATCAACATTATGGTATTTGTAGAGGTTTGGTAATGAGTGGGTTGGGGTTGGGTTGAAATGGGTGGATTAGTGGGCTTGATCAATGAAGATAAAATGTTTACTTTAAAATTATTTTTTGTGTTAATATTTGATTATTGTGGAAATTACACTTAGACTTGCTTTTAGAATTTACTTTTCATAAGTCATATTTTAAGTTTCATATTTCAAAATTCAAATTATAATTAGTTATTTTAATAATTGTATTCTTTTATATTAACAATATTATAAAAACAATATATCGACAAAACATCACTTCGTCTTACCCAATTCTAAACCATAATTTTTCATCATCTCCTCTCTCTTCCCTATCTCTTCTTCCTCCTTTCTTTCGTCGTCAGTCTGACGATGTACTGTCACCATCACAAGTGATGAAGTACCTTTTCGCTGGTCGCTTCATGAAGCGAAATTGTGATCAATGTGGAGAGACTCAGTTGGTTGTTGGAGCGACACCACAATCGATGTGGAGAGATTGAAGAGGTGTTGTATCACGAAGCAGCCATCATCCATAGCGATGTCGCTCGACCTAACTTTTTGAAGATCGATGTGATGATGGTGGTTGTGGTTGAGGAGGTGGCGATGACAATTGATGGTTTCTATTGGTTGATTTGGATGGAGGTGGCTGAGATGTGGCAAATGACAATGAGAGGTGAGAGATTGAAAAAGATGGCAGTTGTGTGAAGGAGATAGTAGGTTATGGCCTGATTTGATTTTAGTGGAGGCTCTTAGGTCATCTCCAGCGCTGCACCAAAATTTGCACCATTTTACACCAAATTTTGTACCAAACCAAAATTCTTCTCCAACAATTACACCAAAACTTACACCAAATGAGTAGTGCTTTATTATTTTATTCATTCTTTTGATTTTTGTCAATGTATTTATTTTAAAAAATTATTTATTTATTTTATAACTATATAAATTATTAAATCATAACTTCGTTCAATTAACAAATATATTGATTACTAAATTATAGACGTGTTTTATATATTATGTTAAATTGACAAAAATAATTGATTATATTATTAATTTATGATAAACAATTACGTTAAATTTACAAAAATAATAAACTTTAATAATATAAACTTTACGTTAAATTAACAATTACATTAATTATTATTGATTATATTATTAATTTATGATAAACAATTACGTTAAATTTACAAAAATAATAAACTTTAATAATATAAACTTTACGTTAAATTAACAATTACATTAATTATTATTGATTATATTATTAATTTATGATAAACAATTACGTTAAATTTACAAAAATAATAAACTTTAATAATATAAACTTTACGTTAAATTAAACTTTAAACGTAAACTTTACCAATTAAACTTCACGTTAAATTAACGATTACATTAATTATTATTTATTATATTATTAAAAATAATAAACTTTAATAATATAATTAATAGTGTAATTAATTATTATTATTATCATCATCATCATCATTATCATTACCATTATTATTATCGTTATAGAACAAAAATGACACAAATATTCTTAACCATTATCTTTGAAAATGAAAAATAAGGGCAAAATGGACACTGCACCATTTGGTGCAAAAAATGGTGTAATGAATAGTGTTGCACCAAATATGGTGTTGCATTGGAGCAACTTTGCACCAAAAAATGGTGCAATGGTATTAGCATTGGAGATGCCTTTAGTGGTTTGTTGGTTGATTTGGGGTGGTGATGGTGAAAATATGATGGTCGACAATATTGTAGTGAGTCGATCTGGTCGGCAGAAGATAGGACACATGGTTTGTGGTTTTGGGATTTTTTTGTTGGTTTGGAAATGACAGTGGTAGTGGTGCAACGGTTGCAGTGGTGATGGTGATGGTAGTGTTAGCAGTGGCAACGATGGTGGTGTGGTGGTGGTTGCGGTGTGGTATGAAAGTGTTTGTGACCAACGACGGTGGTGGTATTGATGGTGGTTTTTGGCGACAATAGTGGTGGTGGTGCTAAAGGCAATAGTGAGATTGTGATGGTTACAAATAATTTGGTTGACTGCGACCAATAAAAAAGATAAATTGTAACTAAGAAATAATGCGTGATCTAAAAAACTATTAATTTGTAATCAATAATTTGATAATTTATGACTATATAATAAGTTGCAACTTATAATATTTGTGATTTGTGACAAATAAATAAATTATGATTTATAAATTTTTGATTTGTGATCGATGAACAAATTGTAACATATAAAATTTTTGAATTGTGATCGTAAAATAATTTATGACATATAAAATTTCTGATTTGTGACCGAAAAATAATATTTGACTAACTAAATCATTAATTTGTGACCAAATTGTATGCATATGTGATTTTAATATATTTAATTATATATATATATAGTTAATTAATTAAATCATAAATAAATTTTAACAAATATCTGATTTTGAAATTTAAAACTTTTATTCTTAGTTTTGAAATGAGTGATATTTAATCTCTTAATTATGAACTTTTCACTTGATTATTTTAAGTGTGGTCTAGGGTTTGTTTGAGCACCAATTTTTTGAAGAATAAATTTTGCAATAGTGTTTTTTTTAAATGATGTATGGTTGAAAATGAATTTGAGAAAAAAATAAATTTTTAAATCATGAGGCTCAAGTTCAAATAGGGCTTAATTGTGCTTTTGAAAAGTTATTGGAATGTTTTCAATTTTTCTTTATTACTTTTTACATTTTCATTTATTTGAAAGAGTGCAAATTCATCATTTAACAGTCAAAATGGATAGACTGATAAGTTTTGTTACATAGTTAAAAGGTTTATGATGAATTTTGCTAAAAAAAAAATTGTGAGTAAATTTGTCACATTTTCAAAAATTTTGGGATGAAAAGTGCAAATTTCCTTATTTAAACCCACTCCTAACCTTGTGGTTCATGCTTAATCCTTTTAATATATTTATTAATTAACATACTTTGCAGTTAGGGTAAAATCATTTGTACACCATGGTATACAATCCTTTCACATGTTGAAGGAGCTCACATGAATAAAAAATTTGTGATCTTGAAGGAGATGTAAAAGAGTATGGCACGAAGCAAAATTCTTGCAGTTATGTTTTGAGCGTTTATAATTTATATCCACTATTGTCTAGTTTAGGTTTGAATTTGCCAAAAATGATATTTGTAGGAAATTTTTTATTCCGTTTAAATTAATTTATAAATCATAAAATTTTATTTTCAATTGTACGTTTTAATAAATTTATAATTTGTATTCACTTATTTACCCTTTGTCTTTGCTTGTCTAGAAATTCTTGAGAACTAAAGCTTTATTTTCAATTTTTGGTTGAGGTAGATTTGTATGCTGGTAGTCAACCCAAGTAAATAAGCATCAGACTGGCACTGGCTTCAATATTCATTTTGGTGGTATCATGAGCATATTTCAGGCATGAGAAGCTGATGCAATCAACGATGTCACGGTGAATACGTATTTCTTTTCTTTATTCGTTTTTATTTTTTTCAGAATAGAAGTAATTTTGTTTTTTCCACAATTTTCTTCTGCTTCTGAAATTAGATTTCCTTCATATATGGTCAAGAATCTCTTTATGTTCTATAGTTCTGTATTTTTTGAAAAGGCCCAATTATTCTGCTGTCATTTTTCTTGAATGCTTGCTACCGTCTGAATGACACCAGTAGTTATCTTAGTTTTTAAGTTTTAAAAACAGAAGGGCCTTGCTATGATGCTGATCTCTACACGCAAATCTTGGTTAATTCTTTCTTGTTAAAGTACAATTTACTGGTAAGAAAATATCAGATCTCTACGACCATCAATCACAATTCCATAAATTGTGATGGACAAGTATACTATACACTATATATAGTTATATGGATCATTAATCTAGTTATTCAACTATGCAATACTGTGATTATTTGCAGCTGTAACTGTTCTCCCAAAGGTTGCAGTTTGTTGTGATTCAAATTAATTCATTGGCCCATCCATAAAAGTTTGAACTTTTTGATGAAATTGTTTACACATTTCACAGATGCTTTATCCCAGATGTGGTTATGGTAATTTTTGAGATACCAAAAGAATTTTGTAATTTTTCATATTTGCAGAACAGGGAGTTTGTTTGGTGGCAGGTCAATAAAAATCAAATTTGTTTTATGATTGTCAAATCTTCAGAGCAAGCATGGAAAGTTAGCTGAATTTTTCCATATTGAAATTCTGAACCAACTAATAGTAAATGCAACCGTAGGATATTGAATTTCAGCTTTTGAAGGATGGCTAGCTTGTTTTCACAGCCTGTGGACACTAACAACGACAAACAGGATCCTGGACCGTTAATGCGACTCATCCTTCAGGCAGCAAAGGACAAAAGTGCTCAGAGTTCCGCGTCAGTGGAAAGTAAACAACCAGAGAGTTCCCAGAGTTCAAAGGTAGTGGAAACAAAAGAACTGGCGAAGGATCTGAACTGGTACTTGCCACTATACAAAGCTGCTTTACAAGGTGATTGGGAGAGTGCCAGAAAATTCTTCGACCAGGACCCTGATGCAGTCACTGCTAAAATTACTAAAGTTTCAGAGACAGCACTACACGTTGCAGTTGGGACGGGAAGGGCCATTCATTTTGTCAAGGAATTGTTAGAGTTGATCCCAACTGACGCCTTGGCAACTCTGCGGGATCAAGTTGGTCAGACAGCCCTCCACTATGCTGCCATATTTGGCAATGTTAAGGCAGCACAGATATTAGTGTCCAAGAACCAAGACTTGCCAAATATACATAGTGACACATTATTTCTCCCCATCCATTCGGCCGCTCTTTATGCCAACAAAGATATGATTTCATATTTATTAACTGTCACAAAAGATGACAAGGATCCCAGTCCCTTCGCAGATAAATCTGGTGTAGATCTTCTGAATCTTGTTACTCTTGCCGAATTCTATGGTAATGGTCCTGATATGTTGAGTTTTAAAAGATTTTGAAGAATAATAAAAAATGTAGTCATCTGCTAACACATCAACATTTTCCATGTTGCAGACTTGGCTTTGTATCTGGTGCAGCTGTATCCTAGTTTGGCTACACTAAAATCAGCTGCTGGCAACAATGCATTGAACTTGATTGCTGGAAAGCCTTCACCTTTCCTAAGGAGAAGTTCCCTTAATGTTTGGCAGCGATTTCTCTATTCATGTAGTTTCTTGTTTCTTTCCTTAATGACTACAATTTGCTGCTGCTCATTATGTGCTACCTTCTTATTTGGTTTATGCTTAGCACTTGTTTATCCCCATCCCTTTGTTTGAAGGTGCTGCAGAGATTTTATTCAATTATGTTTTTTGGTTCCTTATCCCCTCTGCCCACCAACAAGAATCTGACCAAAAAACAAAGTCTTATCCCACTAATTTGGCAATTGACTGCTATCCATTATATAGGTACTTGTGATAGTAGAAAGATTCAATATGCTGGATTTAGAATTTTACAGAATTTTTAATATATGAATGCAAAGTTAAGAACTGATTAAAAGTTTGCAATCTTAAAGGTCTGCCTTCGATGTTTGGGAATATATATAGCCAAGAAAATGGAAGAGTCACAAAGAATCCAGCTGGTGGCCCTCAAATATCTTCAAAACTTTGCTGCCAGATCCCATTTTCCAGCAAGTTCAAATTTTCTGGTTTGTCAAATTTGCTTCTCATTGTTGAGGTCTAAACATATTTAATGATTTCTGAATAACTTGCTTTACCATGAAGAAAAAGTGCCTTGTCATACTCATCCAGTTTTCTTCTTATAAGTCAAGACCCCCACCCCCAGGGGCAAGCAAAAGAGAAAGGGGGAAAAAAAAATACTTTACATGGTTTTGGTTTGTGTATCAGGGTGCCAGAAGTTTAATTTAGTACTTTGGAAGGCTATCGAATGCTTAGGTATGAAATTCCGATTTCTTTCTTAAGGACGAAGAAGTTTTCATTTAGATTAATCTTGCTTCAGGGTGAAAATTGAATTGCAGT